AGACACAAAATGAAATCCAGAGTCAACAAGTGCACTCCCAAGTCAGCAAGCCCAAGTTTCCTCAGTGGCCAAAATGACTCAGTGTGCCCTTGAAGTGCTGGCCTTTAATACAGGTGTAGCATTACTGATGTTATCTTCCAACAGCACAACTACCTTTGTCTCACGCAGATAAAACCAATGCCGAGGGTAATAAAGTGGATGGCAGTGGTTTATTACAGGCTTCATAAAAGGGAGCCCAACGTCCAGCAACAGGTGATTCAGCAGACTCATGGATTCCCAGATTTTACCCTACTTGCTCATTTTCACACAGTTCATTTTCCTTCTCTGGCTGCTTTCCAACATCAGAACCAGACTTAGCCCAGAAAAGGCAACACTTGTACAAGTTCTGAGCGGGCTCTGAGATGTTTTGAGAACCTGGACAAGAAGAAAACCACTCCCCCAGAACTCCTTGTTAATTTTTGGGAAGCCATTCCACTGGTTGAAGCAATTCACACACGTTTTCCTGTGTCCAGTTCAGCCACACGCTCATTCCCTTCCACCACATTCCCTTCCACCACATGGCAAAGCTTCCTTGGTTAATCCCAGGAGCACATTTCACTGCTTTCCTTTCATATGTAAGTAGTTGTTTGTCTCTAATTACTCCTCAGAAGGTGTCCATGTGCAGAAACAGCGTTTTAAGGTGGCCACTGAGCCATTCCCCTCCCCTGGAGCTGTCACGTTCCAGCCTGTGCCAGGTGGATGTCACGTCCATAGTCCATATGGGAATACACTGGGATTTCCAGCATGCCAGAGTCATCTTTTGGATGCAGCCTTTGACTAAAGACCTAAGAGTTCACGAGGCTGACTTTTACAAAAATATTTAAACTCTCTCTGCTTGCAGAGGAGAAGTGGATGCCTTTAAGTTCATTTTCCATCACCATCCATGAATGGGCTGCCCAGGGAGGGGGTGGAGTCCCCGTCCTGGGGGGGGTTTAAAGAGAGCCTGGATGTGGCATCAGTGCCATGGGCTGGGTGACAAGGTGGGGTTGGGTCACAGGTTGGACTCCATGATCTCAGGGGTCTTTTCCAACCTGGTTGATTCTGTGATTCTGTCCCTCAACACAAAACTTACCACAGCCAAAATTCTTCTGTGCTTCCAAACACTTGTTTTGAGAAGCCCAAAGCTGTTTCTGGGTAAAAATGCAAGGTAGAACTGGGGTCACCAGCAGCGAAATTCACTCCACTGTGTTTTTAATTAAGCCCAGGAAGTTGATCTCTGTTTTGGCAGACGGTTAAGACCAAACTAAACATCACCAGAGGCACCTTCCTGCTCTTGCCCCGTGATCCTGGCAAAGAGCAGGAGGATGGAACAGTGACATATAAATAGCTTCCAGGTAGTAACACAAATACTTGTAAGGGAGCACAAATTCACAGCCCCAGTCCACGGAACAGAGCAGCTCCACATTCTCCTTTTGGAAATGCAACTGAATTACTGAAAATATTATTGAATATTGAACCATTGAAAACTCAATCTCCAAGGCAGAAGATCTGTGATATCAAAAAGAGGAAAGGAGCAATCAAATCAAGCCATTCTCTGGGAAGGAGCTTGTCTTTGGACACTCTTCTGCCAGGACCACTTCTAGGGCATGGAAAGCTGGAACAAAGAGCCATCAGCAATTTTCTTACAGGTGACAAAAAAACACTCTGGGAAAAAGCTTCCAATGCTGCCTTCTCCATCAAGCTTTCAAACCCCTGGGCTGCCACAGAGCTGCTAATCCAAAGCAGAAATGATTCAGAGCTAAAAAATGCTGAGTACTTACTATTCCAGAGACAGGTTTTCCATCTACTGACTCCCGGAGAACAGTCTTTTCCAGGCAGGCAACGAGTCTGAGATGGAGCAAAGTTTCTCAACCCTCAGATAATGCTGACAAGCAGAATCATCCTTATCTGTATCAAAGGCTAATCATTAACTCCTGCTCCGATTGGGCCGGGACCAGAACAAGCACTGGGAGGCTCACACAGAAATCCATGGAACAGCAGAAGCAACTCCTGAGTCTCCCTCACAAGATCTTTGCAAAAATGCAGAGAGATTTTAGAACACCCCGACCAGGTTAAATGTGTTGCAATGATTACTTTCCAAGACATTCACCAAAAGACATTTCTAACATTAATTTCTCTGACAGATAGTGGTTTGCTTGCCTTTGGATATTGTAACAAGGCAAGCTTAACTTATTTTAGTATTAGTATTGAAGTATTTAGTCTTCAAACAGAGAGAGAGCAGGTGTAGATCAGGTATTAGGAAGAAATTGTTCCCTGGGAGGGTGGGGAGGCCCTGGCACAGGTTGCCCAGAGAAGCTGTGGCTGCCCCTGGATCCCTGGAAGTGTCCAAGGCCAGGTTGGATGGGGCTTGGAGCAACCTGGGCTAGTGGAAGGTGTCCCTGGCCATGGCAGGGGGTGGGACTGGATGGTGTTTAAGGTCCCTTCCAACCCAAACCAGTCTGGGATTTTATTCACCCCAAAATGAAGAAATGTGACATTGTCAAATCTATTGGCCAGTTTTTAGGAGCTTTGGGGAGTGGTAAAAAGAGAGTAGGGCAGATCATAAACTGGGCAGAAATTCTTCATCACTGTGTACAAGACAAATGCTGTCGGGGTATCCAGCTCTGCAACCTCTCTGCTTGGAAGGCTGGAGTGAACAAGTCACAAAAAATTTGACAAAGGAGAAAAAGTGCAAGAACAGCTGAGCTGTGCCTGCAGCACAAGGGGCCTCATGGAAGGGGCTGTGGTTTCAAAGGAGATTAAAAGCAAGAGTTACACAGAAAGGGATCAACTGACAAGCAGTGCATGTGATCCTGTCGGGATGTCCTGGAGGGTTTCACTGGAGGAATTCAGAAAATTAAGGGAAGTTATGCTGCTGCCAAAAGGGTTTTTAAACTACTGGGTCTTACCAAAGAAGCAAAATAGTCACAATAAAGCGTATTAGGCTTTACCATCCATACAGCAGGTCATCCTACAGACACTGCTGTGTGAAAAGAGCAGCACAAAAATGGCTTTACAAGAACAGCCAAGGCTGCAGCAGGAATGTGAGAGCAGCTGTTAAGTTTCAGAACTATCTTTTTTTTCAGTTGTTCAGGTTTCAGTCTTACAGCATCTGTAACACACTCCTCCATATTTCAGTCTCACCTCACACCACCTTACACATTCAAGTTCAGCACGTCCTCATGGGATAATGTCTTATCTCAAGTTAATGAAGGGCACCAAAGCCAATGGTAACTTGATTTGTATAAACCTCTCCTGGCAGAGAACCCAGGGATCCTGACTCAGTGTCTTGTCAAAACCATCAGACCAGGAGCTCAGACAAACAAGGGAACCATAAAAAAGGCAGCTGAGAAAACCTGCCCAACACTGAGTTGTTTCACTTCCATGGTATCCCAAGGCTGGGCGTGTTCCTCGGGAGCTTGTGCTTCCACTTCCCTTATCACTTTGATGTCCAAGGGTTGATTTACCCACTGGAAAGGCACAGGGTACTCGCTGCCCTCCCACGGAGCCACATGACAGCAGCGCTGTGGGATGCCCATCCCACTTCCCGAGGGATGGGGCACAGTGACCTGGGATGGCCTGGCTGCTGGGAGCACAGCTTGGAGTCTGCTCCACATTTCCTACTGTTTCTCCTTCCCAAGTAAAACAGGCGAGGTTGAAAACGCAGGCAAGCTGTGACAATGAGCTGCTGGGCCTCTTTAACACAGCACCTTTGGAGCAGGAAATGTTCACAGAATCCAAGAACATGCTGAGTTGGAAGGGACCCACATGGATCACGGAGCCCAACCCTTAGACCTGCACAGGACCATCCCCAAGACTCACACCATGTGCCTGAGAGGATCATACTGGGATCCCTGGCTCCCAGGGCAGCCTCTGTCCAGGATGCACATGGAGGAACCCAGCCAGGAGCTGCTCCCATTCTCCCACCCAGAGCACAGCCACCACTGAAGGAAGTCAGACAAGGAGCAGGTTGGGTCACAGAGAGCATCTCCCTGAGGAGGCTGGAGCCATAAGCCTTCCAAACAGCTGCTTTTCCGAGCTCCCAGGAGCAGGCCAGCCCATCAGCTCACAGCATTAGCTCAGGAAACACACTGCACCTTGGAGGTGGCCTCAAAGCACTTCCTAACCCTACAAAGCCAAGGCAAACTACATTATCTCTAATATGAAAAAAAAGCCTGAAAGTGTATTTACCACAGACACTCTTTCCCCCAACAGATATGCAGTAGGTGCTTAGAAAAGAAAAGCAGTCGAGCCTGTCAGGGTTTCTCTTACTCAGTTTAGCCAAAAGATCAGCTAAATATATCCCAAAGCTCATATTCCAAGCTGATGTACCTTCATTAGAGGAATGAGATTGAATCCATGATAACTAATGAGCTTGTGTGGGCAGAGAAGGTTTGTGAAAGTGGAGTGCCTCCCATGCAGTCTCAGGGGAGCTTGGGGCACTCGCTGTTAGTCCCATGCCAGAACACCTGGATTCTGTTCCCAGTTTGCTCCCAGTTTCTCAGGCTTGGTACCAGGAGTTGCTGAGCAACCAGCGAGAACAGAGATGCTCAATCACTTACAGCATTCTGACCTTTGCTCCAGAGCTACCATGGTCTGCTGTATTAATTTAGATAAATATTAGATGATATATTAGATTATATTCTTGTACAACTTTTTAAACAGATGATAAATGTGTTTTACATCTGAGACACAACAATTGTGGGATTTTCTAACATTATATATATGGAGAGGGAAGGAGCAAAAAGTTCTGGCTGCAATCACAATTGTTCAAGTGCCACTGGAAACCAACTGGACCCTTGCAGACACAAACTGGTGACACAGAGAAGAAAAGATACTGGGAAGATGACATCAAAAACTGTAGAAACAAAGAAAGAAGGACAAAACAGAGGTATTTCATCACAGCCTCCCACTCCTAGATTGGCTTCTAAACCAGGAAAGTCTAATTATTCCAGGACCAACAAATGAAAGACTCTAGAAAGTGCAGCAAATAGGAGTTTAATTTGCTTACAGTAACTAGTCCCATTATTCTCTGCATTAGCAGATTCCAGCTTTCAAATGAAAAAAAAAAAAAAAGGTAATGAAAAAATCATTGGTCCCATGTCCCCTGGGACCTAATTGGGAACATTTCCAGAAAATTAGATTGAAACAAAAGGCAATGGAGTAGATTAACTAAGATTGGATTTCCCTGAGGAAAACAACAAACTAGATTGAGTCTTTTTCATCCTCCCCTTTAAAAAAACCTGCCAGGACTCCCAGTGATTTCCTGGCAGACTCCTGGAGAAGTTCATGTTGGCAAAGTGCTTCAACTCAACTCCACAGAATTGTGCTGCAGGCTCCTGACAACTTTGAGGTGACCTTCAGCCCAGGGAGGAGGAGGCAGGTCTGCAGAGCAGCTTCCTCTTGGACAGAGGGGCCTTCACAGCAAATAAACCAAATAGCAAAGGAGAAAATACTGCATTTTAGTTCAAAGAACAAAAAGTTCTGTCTTCTCTCGGCCCTAATGTCTGCTTGGAAAACAAACCAGTGAAAAGAAACTCCCCAAGACCCTGCTCAAAACTCACCCTGTGAACACGGGAGATCTTGTCTCCAACTGTAATATAAAACTGCAAAAGAATATTCTCAACACCCTCCCTTGTCAGGCATTAAGCTTTTGTTCAGGGAAGGAGTGTCTCACTAATGCAAAACTTGAAGTTACACTCTAAAGGGACAAGGGAGAGAAAAATCCTCCCAAACCTCTTTTCTAAAAACAAAAAAACCCACAAGTCTTGTCAGTGGCAGGGATGATACCTTTAAAATAAAAACGCAAACATGCAAAAGTGACTCAATTTAATTCCTCCTCTCTGCTGGCAGAAATTATTCTAATTCCCAGCCTAGTTAACAAGCTGCTGTAGATTAGAAATCTGATATGAAATGAAAAGCAGGCAGCAAATCTCAGTAGGGAAGAGCTGTACAAAACTTCTCATTCTCAACACGAAGTTGTGTGGGATCCCAAAAGTCCTGCCAGTTTTCGTATTTTCAATACTTTTTTCTTTGGTGGGGGAGGGAGTAGAAGAAGCCAAAATTTTTGTGTTTGTAGCAAAAAGCATCACTTTAATCTGGCATTGTACAGCACAGCAGTGACAGCTTCACCAACAAAGCCTCAGTTATAAAATCAACCTGCATTTAAACAGCAACATTTACACATTATTCCCAGTGTCCCCTTTTTAATGAAGGATGGGAAAAAAGCACCACAGAGTCCAAAGGCTGATGAAAGCCTCGGGAAACATTACACCATAAATTACATGATCTGGGATCATCAGGCTGAACACTAACTTACCCTCTAAGATCACACATTGTTCCTCATGAAAAACCCTGCAAAAGCTTTGCTGACCTCAGGCTCAAGCAGAGGCAAGTTAAGATCAAACGGGTTGAAAGTCAACTTAATAAACACTTGTGAGGAGCTTTTCATCCACCTGTGCACAAAAAGCAGGACTATTAAGCACTCTGGAGCTTGGGATTCAGGCACAAACAGGAACTATTGGTCTGTGCCTGGGAACTGTGCGGAGCCACGAGCCCACTGCAAACTCAAAGGTGAGGACTGTGAACAAAGCTTAAATTAAAAAAGGACAAGTGGCTAAGAGAGGGTTAGAGGTGATGTTTGCTGAGTGCTGCAGAACGTGCTGCTACAGCCTCCTCCCCTCTGCACTGGCACTGAAACTGGGCAGTGCTGAACCCCAGGAAAAAAAAAAAGAGGAAACATATACAGGTGCAACAGGGCCACAAAGATGGTGAGGGGTCTGGAGGGGCCATAGGAGGATCAGCTGGTTTGTTCAGCCTGGAGGAGACTGAGGGGAGACTCACTGGGTTTACAGCTCCTTCACAAGGGGCAGCACCATCTCTGCTCTGTGTGAGCAGTGAGAGGGCCCAGGGAATGGCTGGAGCTGTGCCAGGGCAGGCTCAGGTTGGATCTCAGGAAAAGGTTCTTCCCCCAGAGGGTGGTTGGCACTGCCCAGGCTCCCCAGGGCAGTGGGCACAGCACCAAGGCTGCCAGAGCTCCAGGAGGGTTTGGACAAGGCTCTGAGAGACAGGGTGGGATTGTTGGGGTGTCTGTGCAGGGCCAGGAGCTGGGCTGGATGGTCCTTGTGGATCCCTTCCAGCTCAGGATATTTTGTGA